CAAACGTTATTTATGAGCCACACAAAAATATACAGAGGCAAACTCCATAGCAAGGCAAGAGAATATGCTGACTGGAGTAATATTACAACACCTATGGGAATATCAGCACATGCCATCATTATATTGGTCTATTATTGCTGGTATCTAAAGTACTTGCACTACCAGCAGAACAATTTAGCCTAATGGCACCAACAGGTTATTGGAGATTTACACCATAAAAAAGAGACACGGCAGTAAAGCAGTGCAGCATAAAAGGAGGGATATAGAGCCAGTGCCATTTGAGCTATGTCACAGACTAGCAAGAATGCACAAATGTTTCAGTCAATCACTAAATAAAATATTTTAAAGGGTTAACTTTTCTGCGATTTTAACAAATGTATGTGCTTTGAACAATTAAGATGTTAGCATCTTTTAGCTATAATTGTAGGGCTACTTTTGAGCTTTTAAAATCTATATGGCACAGTGTTCCTTGTGGTGATGTAGCATAGCACCGGGAGTACTTCAATGATACGTCAGTGTCTGATTATTATTCATGAGACCAAGTTTTCTACCCTATGAATTATTTCTGAATTATTTAGCCAAGCTGTAAGACCGTGCAGTAGTTCAGCGTTCATGATGGGTTGAGGCACTGTTTATGTTGTCCGTAGACCTCTAATAGTCTGTTTTGAATTTTTGGGGATTTTGAGAGCTGCAGAGTGGATTATTGAGCATTGTTGATCGACCATTGTGTTCACACACTCAACAGATACGGCTGTTTTTGGGTCTAATAATCATCAGTTTGAAAGCTGAGTCTATCAGCTGATCCGTCAGTGGATTCACACTGCATATAAACACTGAGCGACATGACTTTCAAATGTTCCAGTGTGCGAGGACTTTTCTGTCCCTACAAAGTAGGTAAGACTCAGATTTTTCGATAAAGTCAGTATGAGCCACTGACAGATGATCATTGCTTCTTTTTTCACTGAGATTTACATGCCCGTGTAAGATGCATTTTTCATTAAAAAAAAAAAACAAAAAAAACACTAGGTATATTTGAACTGGAAGAGGGGGGTTTCATGACCCTTTTTAAAAAAAATAAATAAACCTGGACCAAAGTCATGAAACAGAAGAAGAAACATAGGATTCAAAATAGGTGTGTAATGGATCATGGTTGATCTGTGATCTGTACGAATCACAACCCATGGCCCGCGGATTAATATATATATATTTTTTAAACTTGAAGGTTAATCCAACATTTATAACCATTGCTGAGAGATCGCCTCCCGCGTCATTCAAATTACATGTATGAAAGCATTTTTGGCTTCCCTGTAAAATATAATGATGACGGAAAAAGTTGTGGTGGGACCTAAAGGCTTTCTTAGGTTGTTAATTAAAAGGTGTTTTCTGTCACTCTTTGTTTAGCCTGCATTAATGCATTAAGTGTAAAGTTGCACAATTAAGCATTAAAAGCATCTCAATTCAAATCTACACAACATGAATGATAAATAATGATGATTTGCATAGGTTTATTAATCCTTCTAAGCGTTGCATTCATATCTGCATTTGAGAGAGATTTGGTTTTTACACTTTTATAGTTACAAAATACAAAATATTAAATAACACAGAAGTTTTGGGAGAACAGTCTACAGTTCAGATATAAACACTGATGTTTGTGGTAAATATTAAAATCACAGTTTAATAGAACTAGACGCTGGTGAATGTTTGATGTTGTAGGAATTACATTGTGTAACCAATGGTTGGCGACAAACAATCATCAAACTTGTATTACTGAATAGGTTTTCAAAAATGATCCACCTATTGACCTTATTCTAAAATGCGGAAGTGTGCCTGTTTTCGCGATTGTCTTAGAACTTCCGATTCAGTCGTCTATGGGAGAAATGACTAGGAATAATAAACAGCAGAAAACGATCAAACTACTTGCTCTACAAACAAATGTTTGCATGACTATACAGACCAAGTAGCATAATATAATAAGAAAATATCAAATTGCAACATCAAGCAGCGTAACGAGCTGCTTTACGGTCAAAAAATGAATGGAAGTGAATGAGACTGGAAGTCTCAAGCCAAAAAGATTCAAATGGCAGCGCCCGCTCGTCAGCGAAGAATAAGGTGAATAATGAAACAGGAAGTTTTATTTGTGAATTGTTGAATCATTAATTTAAAATAAATATATGTTGTACAAGATGTTAGATTTCTATATTTAGCACTATCAGCAACAGTAGCAAAGACCATTTATTGTATTGAATATTTTCCTTTTTTTTCAGCTGGTTCTATCTTGATTTTTAATTTAATTTTTTATTTTTACAACAGTTTCTAATTATATTGGTTAAAACCAATGTTTTTTGCAGTAATATTTTTGTATAAATGAAAAGCAAATGATGTTTGTCAATTCCCTTTTTTTGCTGATCCAAAAAATGGTCCTATCCGTGACTCAAAAACCATAGTATGATCCGAACCATGAGATTTGTGATCCGTTACACCACTAATTCAAAAGTAACCTGGATTTCTCAGCATGCCTCAGTACCAAATATTAGTAAGGGTGTTAAAATTACAGGTTCTAAGCTTTGTTCATTAAAACCAAAAATTTTACGTTTTTGCAATAAATTGAAGGCAAATTACATTTATTGCTTGGAAAACATAAAAAGAAAAGCCTGAAAATTGAAACTGACTTCTCACAGAACATGTTTCTTGATTTCTAAATGCGAAATAGTACAAACTGTCTTTTTAGTATGCCAAGTCTACCTGCAGGAAGCTGCCAAAGGAATATCAGGAAAGCACAGTGGTTAAACCTGTAAGTCTAGCACATTTACATTCAAAAACAATGGAAAAACAAAATAGCAGAATGCAAAACCTCTTCTGTGTGAACTGCCCCTAAAAACATGCAACCTCAGAGAACTTTTGCTGGATCAAGTGGTTGGTAGCAGCGTTTTTAGTTGCAATCATTGTTTATTTCTACAGCTCAGGCTGCCTTCATTGAATGTAAATTGCAAATAATTTCAGGTACATAAACCTTATGACGGAAATTGAAAGGCTTATGTAAATACAATTAGACTAAGCAAGCAAGCGAGGATGCGGTTCATACAGTCACTGACATAGAAATACCAAAAGGAATGGATAAAATATTAGCCCTAACAGAGAAGTTACATTTCATACAATCAAAACTTTACAATACATCAGATCTGATCTAACATAAGCACATATAATAAAGTACGCACCCACATCAGATTTGGTGCAATCATTTAATCACCATTGTGCTGTCGCAAAAAGAGGCATGCTTTTCTTTCTTCCATGGAATCTTTTCTATGCAATTTCATTGCTTCATACAAGGAAAGTGAAGGGTGACTGATGGTATCTTCTTTTATCTTGAGGCCATGACAAACCAAACCAACTTCAAAGATCTAACTGCACCATAATTTGACTGCGTTAAGGGCTTGCATGGACTGCATCTTGGCCAAAAAGCTTCACCTGAAAACACTAGAGAAAGAAGTACAGCTTATTGCAAAATAGCAGGTGTGTTCTGCATGCAAAAATTCAACTGTAAGTCCCCCTATGACAACTCAACATGCTGAATCGGGCAAACTGCCTCCGACATGAGCCCAACCAGAGCCAACATGAAAACCAGAGTAATATGTGCCTGCTCTGACCCACCTCAACCACAAAAATTAAAGTTTAGAAGTGCAATTGCTGTATAATTTCACTTACAGATTGCTTCACAAATTCACACTGATGGTTGTCGGGCAGTTAGTCAATATAGTCAGTTGCAATCGAGATTTTCCTCTAATGTCCAAGGCTGCTCCTTTCACAGAAAATTGTACATTTCAGTAACATAGACCTAACGACTAAAATTAAAGTGGTAAAGCATGACCAAAAATTAAACTTATGCAAATATAACAACCCAAACAATGATGTGGTTTGGTCACCCTGACCCTAAATTAACGAATGAGACAAGTAACTCGCAATCAAACATAATAAAACCAACACTTTAACAATGGAGAGTGCACCCAAATGAAAATGGTGCAGTCATTTGCTCACTGGCATGTTCCGACAGACGTGTATGAAATTCTTTCTTCCGTGCATTTCTTTTTATTCATGCAATGAATGTGAAGAATAACTGATGCTATCTCCATTTATGTTAGTCTGGAATCGCATGAGGGTGAGTAAATATTTTGTTTTATTTCTAGGTGAAGCATTAGTTCAAGCACACGAGGAGCGTGGTGAATTCATTTGCAATGGTGAATTACAACAATAATTGAAGCAAAAGCAGGGAGAAATTTGATTACAAGTATTCCCACAACCACAGACCAAAACGGCTGAGACTAAAAAAAGGCTTCATCTTAAAGCCAGCATTCAACTTCAAGAGCTCTGCCCTGATGCTCTGCAATTATGTGGTAAAAGCAGAATTACTGCATCACGTGCCCAAATAAAGTTTCCAACTAAAAGGTTGCGACAGCAATGAAGGGCATTAGGAAATTAATTATTGGATTCAAGTACAACACGTAAAGGGCTTAGCTTGCAAGAGCGAGCAGTATTATTTGATTAACACTATCAGGAATGCAGCTTAACTTAAAAAAAATTGGCAGGACACATCAGAAGTAGCTGCCTGAAACCATTATCTTCACAACAGAAGAGGCGTCGTCAGCGTCTAAACCCCAGTCCTAACGTGTCCAGGCTCAATCAAAAGTGACTGTCAACTTCTTAAAAAAATATTTTCCAGCTGCTAAACCCTATAAACTCACGCTTTGAATGGCTAATATGCGTGACACGACTCACTTAGCAACAGCTGGTCCATGTTACCAGGAAGTTGCCTGCATACCTCAAGTAATTACAGCTTTGGTGGTGTTAAAAAACTCTTGTGGTCAGCCAGAGGAGCTCTTTCTGCAGGGTGGCTCCCTGGTTTTTAAATAAGCCGTCCAACTTGTGCACAAACTGAGATGTTGCCTCGATAGACCTGCTCGATTTAAGTGAGATGTAAGTGAGCGGCAGCAGAGTGCCATACATACCAATCGGTTGAGCCTCCTCCGTAACATCTTCAGTTGTTCCGTCTTCTTTGGTATCTGAAGACGCTGTCGAGCAGCTGTTCCTTTTGTTGCGGCCAAACTACAGGCTAGTTGAGCTCGAGGATGAGTAACGTTAAGTTTGCATGTATGACGGCAAAATGCGCCTTGTTTAGCTATCTACTTTCTAACCTGTTTCCCCGAGCTATATGCAATGCGGCGGTGAAGCTACATCGTTTCCATATTAATTGAATGCTGTCTTCTCTAACCATTCGCATTCTCGTTTTTGGATACTTTGCGCGGCGCTAGTCGCGGGAGCTCCCCGCGCGCGGGGTCGATTCACTCAGCGGCATCCTGTACTCTGTGTGCCCTGTTGCTGAGCCTCCTAATAATTCACCGCATTCGCCTCCCCGCCGTTAACGCACCGCACGCGACTGGAGATTGACGAGGGGGAGAAAAGTGATGGCGATCTCTTGAAGGTGCGGATTTCCACTCGTGTGCCGCCGCCCCCTCCTCTCGTTCAGATTCCTGTCAAACACATTTTACTCTCCTAACGCAAGAGCCGCTACGACGACAAGCCCCGCCCCTCCGTGGCTGACGCAAAGTTTTCTGGGAAATGTATTTTTGGCGGAAAAGATACTGTTTCTTTTTACAGTTCTTCCAAAAAGAAACGTGTTAATTTGGAAATATATGTTCAGGTGGTGATTGGCTTGATATGCTCCTCTTTTGCTTATTCACTTCCTGCAGCAGGGTAACGTTATTGTTTAGTTGTCAATATGTTAAAGCATTGGAAGCACAATTTTTTTATAAAGTCAAAACAGTTGTGAGATTTATTTTGTAATAGGTTAAAAGTGACTAATATCAGGAGGTATTTTTATAATTTGTACATTTAGATGCAATGGACTCCATCCAAAAAATTGTTAAAAGTATCTTTGGAAAAGACCCAAGTAGCACAATCTATATTATTCATGGAAATAAAATATTAATGGCTAAATGTTTCACATTGTATTATTCATTTAATTTAATATTTATTTATTATATTTGTTTGTCATAGCTAATATATTTTTGACATTCAATACAAAAAAATATTTTTATATTGTGCTCAGCATAATTAAGTACACCCCCATTTGACAATGAATATTTAAACAAAGCAGATTTATTAAACATTTATAAAAATAATATTTTAGTTACCAAACATATTTAAAAATTAAAATATAACACAATGAAATTAAAGCAAAACATTGTGGAAAAAATACAAAAAATACAACTTACAAAATTTAATCAAAATTGTTTTTAAAAAATCTTCTCCTGATTTGTCCTCTTTTTAAAATTTGCATTTAATATTTTTGTATAATAAATAAGTTTGGGTGTACTAGTTTTTGGGCTTTTATTGTAAGTTATTTTGATAGATAAGCTCCAGATTTGTCTTCAGTACCGACTAATCTAATGTATATGCACAAATATACATATTGTATAGCTTCCCGATAAAAATGTACATTTATTTATATATATATATATATATATATATATATATATATATATATATATATATATATATATATATATATATATATATATATATATAATTTTTATTATTTATTTTATTATCAAATAGATTTATTTATTCATAATTACACATCTTACTCTACATTAACAGACCTTCCAACATCACCAAACCCCTATTTCTTCAGATGCCCCTGCTGAAAAGAAAACAATCTAAAATCTCATAGAATGCATAATGGTTTTAATGGTTATAATGGTAATTGTATTGGTTTTAATTGAAATTGTAATGGTCCCCATGGGTGGTATTAAAACCACTAAACAAACCCTAATGTGTGCCGAAACACATTAGAAGTCATTAAAATGCTCTGGTAAAAAGTTTTACTGTTTTAATGGTAGTTGTTGTGGAAATCTGAACTTATGTTTTTTGTTCATCTTTTCATTAGGGCCCTTATATTGTATAGCTATAACAATTAAATTCATGTTCTTTATATAATGCTGTTACGATGTAGATAGTGTCAAAGCAGCTTAGCAGTTCTAGTAAATCAGTCCAGTTTTCAGAGTTGAAGTTCAGTTTAGTTCAGTGTGGTTTAATTTTCACTGCTGAAAGTCCAAACACTGCAATGCAAATCCATCAACGCACAGTTCCACAAGTCACAAATCAAGCAAGCTAGTGGCGACAGTGGCGAAGATAACAAGAAATTAAAAATCAGAAAGAAAATTCTTATATGTAGCCTATTCTTTTTTTTTTTTTTTTACTAATTTCACCTGCATTGAATCTTTATTTTTTTAATATTTTGGGTCGAGTGAATCACAGTGTAAGTGGCCTAAATCATAACAGTCGTATTGCAAAAAACATTGCGTGTGTTAAACTGCATGGTCTCGGTGCATTTTATTAAAATAACTAATGAATGTCCTCTCTGACCCTTTATATTTTTTGAAACAGCCCCACCATGTGGATTACATTTGGATTGTCAGTTGTAACCACCAGTGTTTGGTTGACGTTAAACGCATTTCTTAAAAAAAAATAAAGTAAAAATATCTGAGTTACTTTTTTAAAAACGTAATGCTAGTTACTTTTTAGTTTAATTAATTACCTTTTAAATATAAATTGCTGAATTAAAATGAATGTAGTCATGTTAAATCATGAAATCAATGAGAAAATGCAATCATTATTTTGAATGCATTGAAGAAAAAGGGGGATTGTCTTAATGGACAGAGATTTTACATAACTAATAATACAAAAAGTAGAAACGTTGCAGAAGTTTATAGAAGATTATCCTCATTTTTTTCTTTATGTGTTTCTAAAGTTAAATAGGTTATGCAGTGCATTGTTAATTCGGAGCTCCATAAAAACCTGCAAGTTCTGAAAGAGATCAAGCCTCAGCAAAGGTAATAAAAAGTTAAGCAAAAGTAACCCAAATGCAACAGATCGCATTATTTACCATCAAAAGTAACTAAAGAGCACAATAAGTTACTTTTTAGTGGAGTAACTAAATATTGTAATGCATTAATTTCAAAAGTAACTTTTGTAGTAAATTACTACAATTATGGACTAGTTACAAATCAGTCAACTCAATTCACAGATGCTCATAGTTCTCTTTCCAGATATGAGTCCTAGGGCAAACACAGACGATTTTAGAAGGGGATAAAATATATTTGAGCTAAGAAAGTAATGTTATTTCTGAGATTGTAATACCTGATTTGTACCCATCAAAGTTAAATGATGTCACTTGTGTGTCTGTGCAGATATTTTTATTGCATAATGGTGGTGATTTTTATTTCCATCAATTTTTTTGTTTACTTTGAATTATGTGAACAAAGAATAAACATGCCATAGACGATCGACATATAGCAGTGTGCATAGATATACATGTAACAACCAATTTACAGGTTGGTAAATAATAATATTAATAATAATGCCAACAACAACAGTGACAACAAAAAGGAAAAACTGAAGAATAAATGACGAAGACTGAAAAAATAATATGTACATATACACAGACACACAGATACAGACATAAAACAAGTTTCCAAAACAAAAAAAGCAATAAACCAAATCTGTATTAGAGGTTAAGTAAGGGTAAAATTAAACCAGTTAAAATGAATTAAAAAAAAAAAAGAATAGTAAGAGAAACAGATTAAGATAATCAAAACTGTGCTGAAAGAGATCTACAACAATGAAAAAAGGTTATTAAAAGCCCAAACAGGGAACCTTAAACAACTACTATGACGAGAAAGAAAAGATATTAAAATAATAACGAGAGGAAAAAATAATAAATCAATAAATAATTAAAAAATAAATAAAATAAATATGTGGCCTTGGAAACAAAAGTTTTGCTTTTTGATTTCTCCTTGATTTAAATTAGTAAACTTTTAAGCTATTCCAAAGTTTGTGCCCAAAGTCTGATGGTGTGCTCTCTTGCACCATGCAAGCAGTGGACATTTCCACATACACAATATCAATAAAAGTTAAAATCCAATGGTGTTGATTAAGAGAATGTGGAGGCTTTCATCTTGTCACAACTATTTTCTTGGCTGCTGTCCGGCCAGCTAAAAACACACTTCTGAATTTTGTTAAGCTCGATATCAGAAAAATAATTTCAAATGAAAATAGAGGGGGCGAGCGGGACTGAAATGTTTATTAAAGGCAAATTTTGCTCAACCATATTCCAAAAATAACCAAACACTGTCCCAAATCACATGAAACGACGTGCCAATGTTGGTGATAATGTTATAGATATTAGTTGTAAGGTGAGCAAATTCATGGCTACAAGACTCTGGGTCAGAACCAACAACAAAATGAATTGTAAAAGTGAAATGTTACCATCAACCCTAGCCAAATTTAACTGTTTTTATTTTCAGTATATGCCTAGGTGTTCAATGTCTGAGCTGTCTTGTGGTCTATCTATGTGTGATCATTGCTAGCAGCACTCAAAATAAATTGTGGCTTTGAATGAATGTCACAAACATTCAAGCATTTACAAAGACATTTAATGGGTCTCAGTGTCAGCCTATACGTAAAAACTTGTTTTATTGTGATCTTAAACAGGGCGATCATCCAAAAAAACTTTTATATACATATATATCTTAATAATATCAGCTAACAATGCTTAATGCTAACAAATCTCAATCTCAAAAATAGTAATTATTAAAATTGTATTTAATTTCTTTATTTTTTTCATTAACTGTTATTATTATTGTGTGATTTTTATAATTCTTTATAATACGATCCTATAATGTAATGAGCAAAGTAACGCATCACTTTATTCAAAGTAATAATATGCGAGTTACTTATTTAAAATGTAATGCTTTTAGTCCTTTTAGTCATATAGTTTAATTTATTACCTTTTAAAAATAAATTGCTGAATTAAAATATATGTAGTCACGTTAAACAATTGACTCAATGAGAGAAAGCATTCATTATTTTGAACACATCGAAGAAAAGGAAAAGGAAAAGGGAATTGTCTCAATGGACAGGGATTTTACATAACTAATAAGACAAAAAGTACAAAAGTAGCAAAACATATTGCTTAAATTAATTCATCTGTGTACACAATATGTATAGTTGTATGGTCAGAAAGTTCTCAGAATATTGCAAAGCTCCCATATTTAAAAAAAAAACCCTGCAAGTTCTGAAAGAGCTCAAGCCTCGGCAAAGATTAAAAAAATGTAATGCAAAGATAGCTGTTGGCATGTTGGTAGGAACATTTCTTGGAAGGTTATTGGGGCCCTCTACTGGACGATACCATGATGCAATTGACATAGTAAGTCCCCAGCAAGCGTTTTTTGTTTTTAAAAGATTTGTAATAGATGTCTAATAGACGTCTAAACATAGTCATCTTGGCTAAAACAAGGCTAAAATTGGGCTGTCTGTGAAAATCTAATAGACATCTAAGAATAGGTCAAAACTAGACTAGTCATCAAATAAACAGAAAAGTCTAATCTGTCTCTATATGTCTGACGACTCTATTGGGCTATTCTAAAATGTCTATTAGATTTTCATTAACAGCCCAAGTTTAGCCTTGTTTTAGCCAAGACGACTATGTTTACATGTCTAACGTCTGTTAAACACAAAA